TTGAGCATCCACCTAGTAAGACACAAAGAGGAACTATATCTCTATCTATAAAACACTCTTTATGGAAACAAAGACAGACCTAAATAATTATAAAGAACTTGCTCATGGTTGGGCTGTGCCAGTATAATAAAATGACAATAGTACCAAAATTAATTCACTGATTCAGTGTTATTCTAATCCAACTATTAAAGGGTTAATTTAGAAAGCTAGAAAAATAATAAAATGCATCTAAGGGAGTAAAAAGGTCAAGAAGTTCAAGAAAAATAATAATAGGAAGTGTGAAGTAAGTTGTTCTTGATCTCAAAATATACAATCTTAATCCTGATCTGAAAAGCAATAATCATCCAAACTATTTTGTATTGGTTAAGCAATAGAAAAGCTGATTAGACAGATTATGTATATAAGAATTCAGAAAGAAAAGACCATAGTAATAGTGTCCAATAAACCTCAAATTACTATTCACAAAAACTGCTGGGAAAACAATCAAGTAGAATCTTACATCATACACCAAGTTTCAATGAATAACTGACTAGATTTTTAAAAATTACACAATAAATAATCCAGGAAGGATACTTTTTGCAGTTGTGGATAAGGAAATACCTCTGAACTGTTTAAAGGATAAGAGAGTCAGAGGAGATAAAACAGACAATTTTGATTATGCAAAATTTAAAAGCTTCTCCACAGACTGAATCAATGGAGTTAAAAGTAGAACAGAAAAACTGGGGGAGGCGGGAGAGAGAAAAATTATCCATGTAGCAAATTTCTCTGATAAAGGAGTAATATCCAAGAAATATAAGGCACTGATTCAAATATATAAGAAGAATCATTCCCAATAGATAACTGGTTAAAGTATATGAACATTCAATTCTCAAGGGAAGAAATCTAAGCTATCAACAACCATCTGCAAAAGTGCTATAAATCATTAATAAGAGACATGCAAATTAAAACAAATTTGAGTTCTGCCTCACACCCACCAGATTAGCAAAAATGGCTCCCCAAAAGTATAATGACAATTGTTGGAAGGACTGTAAGAGGACAGGCGCATCAGTGTACCATTGGCAGTACTATGAATTAGTCCAGCCATTCTGGAAAGCAATTCAGAACTATACTCCAAATGTCACTTAACTGTGTTTATCCATGAGCCCAGCAATATCACCCATTATGCTTATGTCCCAAAGAATTAAAAAAAAAAAGAGGAAAAATCCCCATATGCAAAACTATCCATAGTAGCAAAGAATTTTAAAATAAGAGGTGCCCATCAATTGAGGGATGGTTCGACAAATTATGGTACACGATTATAATGGAAGATTATTGTACTATAAGAAATTATGAAAGGGATAGACTCAGAGAAACTTGGAAGGACTTGTACAAACTGTTACAGAGTGAGGAAAGCAGAACCAGGAAAATAGACAATCACTACAACATTATAAAGAAAATAATTGTAAAAGACTTAAGAATTCTGTAAATGCAATGACCAACCATAACTCCAGGGGACTGATGATGAAGCCTGCTGTCCAACTCGTTTTCAGACATGGTTAGTGTATGAATTTGTTTTGTTTCACTATGCTTGTTTGTTACAAGGAAGAGGGGGGCAATTTAGGGCATAGTGATGTAAAAAAGGGGGGCTATTAAATAACTTTTTAAAATGCATGGAAGAAATTAGAAGGAAGTTCAAAGAGACACAAAGAAACAGGGTATTTTTGAAACTAATATGCTAAATTTATTATACTATAGTTTTAAAAAAAAAGTTGTTTCAAACATATTCTTGTTTGTGGAAATGTTTGTGTTTGCTGGGTTTTGTCAAGTTCAGAATAAAAAAGAAAATAACTGCTTAAAAATAAAAAGATATATGTGATCAGAAACAGTGGGCTAGTGCCCCAGTGAGAGTGAAACAAAACATTTAGACAGTCTGTTACAATAATATCTTTAGAATATTAAAAGACCCCCCTCCTCAGTTGCTAATGTTCTCTTCCTCAAATTATTAGTAATATCAATATAGCTTTAAAGTTTGCAAAGCACTATATATATATGTGTGTGTGTGTGTGTGTGTGTGTGTGTGTGTGTGTATGTATATAAAATTTCATTTGTTCCTTACAAATGAAGTGAGGTAGGTGCTATTATTATCCCTATTTTATAGATGGGGAAACTGATCAGAGTGATTAAGTGACTTCTCTAGAGTCACAAATGTCAATCTGGTTTCAAACTCAGGATATTCTGACCACAGCTTCAATTCACTTTCCACTACACCACACTAACTCTCCAACTTGGATTTCTTTATCTGTGTACATGTTGTCATAATAACTACCACCATGCCTTGAACATAGTAGGTGTTTTAATAAATATTAGCTGAACTTCATTGGCTTAAACTAATTGAAGGGAAAAGACATAGAAGGAGGCCTCTAAGATACTACACATATCCTTTGTGTAAGATTTGTGGTAGGACGTGGACAAGAATTATATAGGATAGGGAAGTGTTGGATGGGTTCTGAACTGTAGTATTGGAGGAAGTAACCACACTGGATACATTCAAGTATAGACATACATCCCTTTCTTCATATCCCCTAAATATATAAGGCATATAAGCACTTAATATTTGTCAAATTGAATTTTGATGAGGCCATCTGCTTTGCCCACTTGTCTTCAGAGGTATAACTCAGCACCTAAATCATCCTAAACAGATGGCTGCCAATCTCATTTTTAAAGCTCTCCAGAGAAAAATTCACAGGCTCCCTTATTTTTGTTGTTCCATTATCTCTTCACCATTTCAGTTATGAAATCCAAATCCCAGTAGTGCAATTTAGGCCTATTTCCTTTCATTCTGACCACTGTGAAGCAATGGGGAAATGGGTCTGCATATTCCTCTGAGTGCTTACAATATAAGCCAGACAACCTAGAGATAAGAGATACAGAGTGCAGACATTTAATGCTATTACTACTACTTAACATTCATATAGCACCTACTATGTACTTTGCAAATATTATCTCATTTGCTTCTTTTAACAACCTTGAGAAGTAGGTGCTATTACCATCTCTGTTTTACAGTTGAACAAACTGAGGCAGAGGTTAAGTGACTTGCTCAAGGTCATATAGCTAGAACGTATCTGAGACCATATTTAAACTCAGGTCGTCTTGACTCCAGTCTTAATACTTGATTATGCTGTCTAGGTATTATTAAGTAAATAATATGCCAAAAAATCACTAAGGGTATATTCAAGGGGTTAAATTTCCCATTATAGATTAACAAGAAAAAAAGCTTTAAAAACATACCCAATCGATAAGCTAAGAAGACTGTGCATTATAGGACTACTACAGTTTAGCTTGGGTAATGAATCAGTCAACAAGAATATATTAATCACCTACTCTATGCATGATTCTGCTGGGCATTGGGGATACAAGGGCAAAAATGAAATCGTCCCTGCCCTCAAGGAGCTTATAATCTAGAGGGAGAAACAAAATGTACACGTATAAACACAGAAAGTAAATACAAGTTTGGGAAGAGGAAAAAGTTACTATCAGCTAGGGGGATCAGAAAAGGCCTTTGGTAGAAGGTGCTGCATAAGCTGAACTTTGAAGGAAGTTGGGGAACTAAGGGCAAGAAAGCATACATTCCAAGCATGGGAGAGAGATTGCAACCAGGCAGAAACAGGAAATGGAATGTTGTATACATGGAAGAGCCAGTAGGCCAATTACGTTTTTGGCTGGACTGAAGAATGAATAAAAGGGAGTAACGTGTAAGTCTGGAAATGTAAGCTGCAACGGGATTGTGAAGGGCTTCAAACGCTAAAGTGAAGAATTTGCATGTTGTTCTAGAGGAAAAGCAGGTCAGACCTGTGCTTTAAGAATATTACTTTTGCTGCTGAACAGAGGAAGGATTGAGTGGAAAGACTTTAGCCAAGTAGAGCATTTAGAAGGAAACGGCATCTGAGAAGTGATAAACACCTGCACTAAGGTAGTGGGAGAGGACAGAGGGATGCAAATGTGAAATATGTAGAATCTTCAAGACTTGGCAACTGGTTGGATATTTGGGGCTAAGGAAATAGTAAAGTGGAGTATGATTACAGGCTATATTGTGAACCTGGGGCACTTGGAGAAAAATAAATGGCATTGCCCTCCACAGAAGGTTCGGAAGAGGGTGGGGTATAAGGGGAAACTAAAGAGAATGAGTTTGGTTTGGGTAAAACCAGTCACTTCCCATCTCCAGGCCTCAGTTTCTCATCTGTAAAATTAAAGGATCGAGCAAGATGACCTCTAAAAGGGACTCTTCCAACTCTAAAGTTTAAGAAGCTCACGAAATTCCCAACTGGGCAAGGAAAGAGCCGATACAACGGCGGGGGTGGGGGGGGCGAGGGGCGGGACGAGGCAGGGAGATGCAGTGGGAAGAGCACTGCCTCTGGAGTCAGGGGATCCCAGCTCCGCCACTTCCTAGTCACAGTGAGACCTGCAGCAAATCACTTTCCTTCTCTGGGATTCACTTTCCTTCTCCGTAAAAGGAGGGTGTTGGGCTCGATGACCTCCAAGGTTCCTTCCAGTTCCACATCTCTGATCCTAGCAGTACGAACCAGAGGACCTCCCACGTGGTCCGAGACCTAGAGCCACAGAGCCCGGACTCGGGCTCCCTCGGGCTCCGCTCGCTCTCTCATTCCTCATGCAGGGCTTGGCCATCCTCCCGCCCCTCTCCCTTTCCCCCTTGGGTGTGCTGCCAGAGCACAGCCGGCCAAGCCCTTTCCTCAAACGGACGGTCGCCAGCAGCCAGGTTACCGCCCCAAGGTCCCTCCCAGGCGTGCCCCCACCCCCTACCTTTGGCTCTCACGTCCACTCCGGTCTCACCGGCGATAGGCCGAGCGGGAGCTTAGGCCACACCCCTTCCCCCTCTGGATTGGTCAGTGGGGCTTCGGGCTGTTCCTCCTCTCCCCGCGCCCCCTCCTTCCACCGGCCTTGGGCCAGCCCGGAGTCCGGGGGTGTTGGGTCCCGCCTCCATGTGACTGCCGGGTCGGGAATTGGCGGCGGCGCGGCTGCCATTTCCGGTTTGCCGGAGGTGGGCGGGTGGGGTGCGGCGCCGAGCCGAGCCGGAGCGGCTGCCAGATCCAGCCTCGCACCTGGTGCCGCCGGCAGGATGCGCCCAGGGCCCGGGGGCTGCTGCTGCCGCCGCCCTGCGCTGCCGAACGGCTGCGTCGCGAACGGGGAGCTGCGGAATGGGTATGTGAGGAGCAGCCCGGCAGTCGCCGCCGCCTCTGCCGCCGCCAGCAGCCAGGTACGGGGCTGGGGGCCGGGCGCCGGGCGGCTGGAGGGGGGCCGGGCCGGCCGGGGACCCGAGCTCCTCCGGGATCGGCCGCGGCCGCCGCCGCGGGGTGGGGCTCGCCGGCCGGAGGGGCTTCGGTGCGAGTCGGGGCCGCCGCCCGTTCAGGTGTTTGGCCCCAGACTGCCCCCCCCTTCCTCCTCCGAGCTGCCCCCCCCCTCAGGATGCTCGGCCCGTGCGGCGCCGGGGGTACCTTCCTGTCACCTGATTCTGTTGGACCCGGGCTCCCCCCGGGGTGATGGGGAGGGAGGGAGAGGACTGACCAGGCGGCCGAAGACTCCCCCATGCCCTATCCCACCCTGAGCCAGGCCGCGCACCCCCGCTGACCTCCTCTGCCTCGTTTACTCTTTCACTCCACTTCCTCCTTCTTCCTCTCAGGTGTTTGCCTTACCTGTTGGTCGATAGGGGGAATAAACCCGCTTTCTTCGGATCCTCGGAAGGGTGTGGGAGGAGGAAGCCTGAGGCTGACATCCAGCCCTTCGGTAACATTAAGAGTTTGCCACGTGCAGAGGCTGGCTGCAATGCTCTCTCCTGCATATGTATGAACGGGCTAGCTAGCTGCCCCCCCAAGCACGCACTTGTCTCATCTTCCCTCTCCACTGGGCAGTAGAGTCCTAGTGATTTGTATGGCCCTCTGTTCCACCTGAACACTGAACACACGGGCTATAAAATAAACTAGGGGATCTTCTGACCTGGTAGTGACTTGCTGTGAGTATCTAATAATTGAGAACAAGGGCTGACTCACCCAGTAACTCGAGGAAGCATTTCCCGCAGAATATCCAGCAATTCTATGTGCGCTAATTTCTCGATGTGTGCACAGATTACAAACAAAAATCACATAGTCCTTGCCCTTGAGGAGCTCTGAGTTCTCCATAACTGAGTTCTGTCATAACTTCCACTCACTAGTGGACTTTTTTGCAGTCAGGTATCCTGGCTTTAAAAATGCCAGGCCTTTGTGGGATAGTTGTGATGATTTGCAATTGCTGTTAAACAGTCCTTCCGGTCCTGTTTTTTGACTTTGTGGCAGGGAGAGCAAGAAGTAGCTTGGTACCTGATAAAGAGTGTTGTTCAGTCATTCTCCGTAATATCCAACTCCAATCGTGACCCTATTTGGGGTTTTCTTGGCAAAGATACTGGAGTGGTTTGCCATTTCCTTCTCCAACTCATTTTGCAGATGAGGAAACTGAGGCAAACAAGGTTAGTGATTTGCCCAGGGCCGTACAGCTAGCAAGTTGCTATGGCCGAATTTGAACTCAGGAAGATTCATCTTCCTGATTCCAGGCCCAGCACTCTATTCACTTCACCACCTAGCTGCCCTGATACAGAGTAGGTGCTTAATAAAAGGTAGTTGATTAACTTCATAAGTTTAAAAATAATGTGCAAAAGGGCATTAAGGTTTCTTCCAGTAGCTGTGACAATTGCAGTTTTCAGTAAGATGAATAGAAGACCGTAGAGAAACTGGTATGCAGCACCCCATATTCCAGATCCATTACTGTTTAGCAAGAAACACACACACACACAAAAGGCATGTTTCTCCAAACACAGTATCTATCAATGTTTGATAGTGGTGGAAGTGGTATTAAATTCAGTAAAGAGAAAGAATAGGTCAGATACCCTTTCTGTTTTAAAGTATAAGTTGAATTATAACAGATAGTGATGATCTGAGGTCAGAGGAGCCTGCCCCCCCCTGGAGTCAGAAGGACCTAGACTCAAATCCCTGCTACATTTATTGCCAGTGTGATCTTTGGCAGGTTAGCGTTAATTTCTTAGACGGTTTCCTCTTTGGAAAAGTGGAGATGATACTTGTACTCCTTCAGTATTACTGTGAGCAAAGTATTTTAAAATTTATGAAGCATTGTATAAGGGGGCATTTCTTATAATTGTATGGGAGAATAAATGATAAACAGGTTATTAGTAATAATGAAAGATGCTTTCATGAAAATGTATGTAGCATGTTTTTTCTGGGCTAAAATGTAGCATTGACATTTAACATGTTTTCCTGTTGAAGTTGTAACTAGGAAAATAAGTTGCAGATGAGTGAATGAAAATAAATGTTTCTTTTCCAATGGGTCATGACCCTTCTAAGAGGAGAAAAGGCATCAAGAGGAAGATGGTTTTCAACACAGGCCTGTGTTCTCATGTGTGGTGTGCTTTCTGTTTAAGTGCTTCCTTCCCCTCTCTAGAAACAAAAATTGCTTTGCTTTAGTAAAACCAGAGTCCCAGCCACCCAACAATTTGTAAATTCACATTTATAATTGTGAACTGCATTCAGAGGTTTTCAGCTTGTAAGAAATATCAAATTACAAGAATGAGATCAATATGCAAAAGATAATCTTGCAACAAGTATCTGACTTAAATGCTTGTGACCCAGTCAAGTTTATGGCCCAAGGGGGAAAAATATAATTCTTAATATCTTTTTGTGTCTTTAAAAGAAGCACAGAGCAGATCTTCTCTGGAACTCTTTAAGACTGCAGTATACCTTATTTGAAACTATTTATCAGAATGAAAGAGGTTCTTAAATTTTGAGAGTTATTAGTGCTGAACTTCATTTTCAAAACTTTTTTCATTTTCATTCAAAACACTTTCAAAACTCAGTACACTTGGTTGGAGGAATATTGCTTAATTTGCTTCCTTTATTTTTTTTTAGCAGAGAACCCAATATTGGTAGTTTTGTAAGGACACAAAGTGTTCCTTTGTGGTTTTGTTTTTTGTATTTTGGGTTTTTTTTTAAAGCAAATTAAGAAAAGGAACAAAGCTCACAGGCAATAAAGAATAAAACTGATATGTTGTGATCCAACTATTTCGTTCTTCTTGAGGAAAATATTATGTCATATTATAAAAGATAAACTTGAAGATGTGTGGCACCTAGCTGTATGTAAACTATTAGCTAAGAAGCACACTCGAACACCATAATACAGTTTTTAAAACTAAGCTATACGGTGGCTTCCTTACCAAATCAAGTACTCCTCCACTATAAATGGACAAAAGCTGATTGGATTAACCAGGCTTCTCTAGTGTTTAGTTTGCTCTTCTAAATTGTAGGTGTGATTACTATCTACGTATTTCTAGCTACTTTGCAAGGTTGTTTTGGAAAAAGTGTTTTGTAATCTGCTTTTATTACACTGACTTCAAATCTCACAGTCCTAGGAATGGAGTCACAGATGATTACAACTAAGTGGACACAATGCAATGTATCCAGACCTCTCCTTTTACAGATGAGGAAACTGAGTGTGTCTACATGTGCTTATTTCGCTGGGAGCTTTTTGATTGTCTTTGAACTTGCTCTGGCTCAGACCTTTAGGAATAGAAAGAATAATGATCACCAGGGCTTCTTTACCCTCCCTCCTGACAAAGGTGTGGCCAGGAAGGAAAGATCTCAGATTGTGCTTTGAGTCCTTCCAGAGAGTGTCTCTAGGACTTCACTGAACCCAGTTTGGCGTCCCAGACTGTACAATGTCCTATGGTGGTGTGCTACCCTTTTTATCTCTTCCTTAAAAACTGAAAAAAATTGTTCTAAGAAATCTAGGGGCTGAATTGTAGATGTGAAATGAACTTGTGAAGGGATAAAAATAAATGTGCTTAAAGGGTGAAAACTCTAGACTGTAGGGATTTAAGATTGTGTCTTTTGTGCATAGGAAAGCATTTTGAGGGGAACAATCAAACATTATTGTGTAATGGTGCCTCTGGATGCTTATGGATATCACCAAGAAACACAGCAATTGAACAATAAAGCATTGATTTTTCAGGCTCCCCCTCCCCCCATGTACAGCTGAATGGGAGGGTGGGTCTTGGTGGTAATTTATAATTAGGAAAACTTGCTGCTATTACCAGGCGCTTTCAAAGAATCATAGAACTAGAAGTCATCTTAAAGGATTTTACAGTTCATTTTCTGCCTTTTTGTAGGATATTATTTAAATCATCCTAGTAACATCCTGCCTTGGTATAATAGGAGGAAAAAAGAACACTATTAAAATTAGAAGATTTGGGTGACTTTGGGAAAGTCATTTAACTTTCTTGAGTCTCAGTTTTTTCCTTTTTAAAATGAAGGGATTGGAAGATAATTTTCAGTGTCTCTTTTAACTCTCAATCCTGTGATTGTACCACTAGGAAAGGAGATTTAATCACATCCCCAAAATAGTATTTTGCTATCAAGAACATACCTCAAGAAGAAGCTAGATGGTCAATCACTTGTTTTGTCTGCAGAAATGAGGTAGTGTAACTACTTACCATCCTCCATTATTATCAAGTCTCAGACTTGATTTTTGTGATAACCTGTATGTCTCTCTGATCTGCACAAATCTCAAAACAAAGTTAACTTCAAAAATTTTTTAAATTTATTACTCTGGGGGAGAAAATATTACAAAATAAACATTATAGGGCATTGTCATTTGCACTAAGGTTGGGCAATAATACTTTAACATTTGGCTATGTTAAACTTTTTTGAATATTCACATATATGTATAGTAAAACATTCAAATTTCCATTTAGAAATCTTGTATAAGTAGGCATCATTATCCCTATTTTGCATATGAGAAAGCAAAAACAAAGACTTCATGGAATAGTGGAAAGTATCTTGATTTTGGAGTCAGAAGAATTGCTTTGAACTATTTTGTCACTCCTCTGTGACCTTAGTAGGCAGGTCACTTCTGGGGGAGGGGAGACACCCAATTTTCTCATCTGTAAAATGAAGGCATTCAATTCAGCCTCTTAAGATCCTCTTCAGTTCTAAAATCCTGTGATATTATGACTTAGTCATGCTTACCTAGTGAGTCAGAGGCGTAGTTAGAACTAGAATACAGTTCTCTTGGTTCACTATTCAGTTCATAACAACCAGTTAGTTATGTGAAGACGATGGTCAGCTAGGTGGCATGGTCCTGGAGTCAGGAACATTCATCTTCATGAGGTCAAATCTGGCCTCAGACACTTCCAAACTCTGTGAGCCTGGGCAAGTCACT